CTCCACGGTCCATTGAGGCCGAACGTGGCCTGCATGGAGCCGTCACTCCCGCGTCATCTGCAGGAGGACTGACGCGCCTGCGCTGTGGGTTAGGCACCAACGGGGCAACATCCGGCTCGTCGGACGCGTCGCACACTCGGCCTCCTGTCGTGTCGTGTTGTGTGGAGGGACGTGGCGTGACGAAGGGTTTTAACCGAGAGGGGTGAACGCACAGCGACGCCGTCCCAGCTAATTTTAACACATTGGGGACGCAGGACTTCCACTACCTCAACCGGGCCTCGCCATGGTCTGAGGAGTTTGGCCGACGTGGACACCGGCACCTGGGGGCAGTGGAGCCATGCCCTGTCTCCCGGTGCCCAACGATGCGTGTACGTCCGGGGTCACGCAGTCGCAAATTCGCCGTTGGCGGGAAGCCGAATTTTCAATGGCGGCCTCCCGTGCCTCGGCCAACTTACGGAGGTTGAATCGCAAGTGGTCAACGAGCTTTGACTTTTGCGGTGGCTGTTCGATTTCCAGCCGAACGTCGGCGGGAGGAAAGGCATCCCTGCCGTACATTAGAAAGAACGGGGAAAATCCCGTCGCCGCGTGAGGTGCCATACGGTATGCGGCGAGGACCCCCGGAACCTGCAAGTCCCAATCGAGGTGGGATTCATCGACCTGATGGCATAACATAGCGGTGAGAGTTCTATGAAGGCGCTCCACCATGCCGTCGTCTGGGATGGTAGGGTGAAGTGCGCACTTTCTTAGTGCCCAACAGGCGGCACACATCATTCAGCAAGGCTCCCGAAAATTTCTTCCCTGATCGGTCAGCAACCGTTCTGGTGCGCCCTTGTCCAGGATAGCCCTGAACAAAGGCGTCCACAACGGCCGCCGCCGACTGGTTGGGGAGGCCCAGGCCATAGGCCACCATGTAAAATACTCTACCCCAACCAGAAGGTACTTATTACCCCGTGGCGTAGTAGGAAAAGGGCCCAAAATATCGAGAGCCACCAACTCATTTATACGAGAGACCGAAATGGGTTGCAGGGGTGGACATGCCAGTTTAGCCGGCGGTTTACGTTGCGCACAATGGGTGCATCCCAGCAAAATGTCAGTGACGTCGCGCAGCATGCCCGGCAGAAAAATTGCAACCGCAACAACCCAATGGTCTTATGAACACCCAGGTGCAATAAACGCTCATGCGCCGCCCATACGGCCTTGCATCGCAAGGCGGATGGCACGACGATTTTATGTTGACACGAGTCAGCATCCCAATGCATCAACAAGCCGTGCTTCATGACAAATGAATTAAATTTGCCCTGTCTTGGAACCGCATTATTCGCGTGGCGACGCACCTCAAAACGACATGTCCTCGCCCTGGTGCCGACCCCATTCGGCCAAAGTTAGCCCAGCAAATCGTCACTGGCCATTGGATCTGCATGATCGAACATCGGCGCTGAGGCGGCGGGAAGTGCGGCTGACACCGTTGTGAGAGGCGCCTGCGCAGGCAGGGGGCTTACAACGGCCCGAGCCCAAAAAACACGCACATTTTTGAGCCGGCGGAGGCGAGACAACATCGGCATTCGTGTGTTGTGCACCCCTACGGTAAGTGACATTGAAATCGTAGTCCTGAAGGACTTCGAGCCACCGAGAAAGCTGCCCGGACGGTTGGTCAACCCGCAGAGCGTACTGTAAAGCCGAATGATCAGATCGCACGGTAAAATGCTGACCATACAGACGGCCTGTATTGCTGAATAAAAAAAACAATGGCCAGCAGCTCACGTCTGGTCACACAGTATCTTTATTCAGCAAGAGACAAGACTCTGCTACCATAGGCAACAACCCTTTCAATGCCATCAACTTTTTGGGACAGAACACCCCCAATCCCCGTATTGCTAGCGTCGGTGTCCAACACGAATGGCACGGAAAAATCGGGGTACGCAAAGGACGGTGCCGTCACGAGCGCGTTCCGCAAGGAGTCGAACGCGCCTGTTCTGCGTCCCCCCAATGAAACGCCACCCCTTTTGACGTAAGGGCGTGGAGCGGCTTGGCAATGGTCGTGAAGCCAGCAACAAACTGGCGGTAGTACGACGCAAAACCAATAAAACTACGAACATCGCCCGCAGATGTAGGGGTCGGCCAATGTTGAACACATTTGGTTTTTTCAGGGTCGGTAGAGATGCCCGAGCGGTAACTGTGCCCAGATAGCGCACAGACTCACGCAGAAGGTGACACTTCTGCGGCTTGAATTTCAAGTTAGCGGCCCGCATTTTCAAGAAGACAGCACGCAACCGTTCGATGTGTTCGCCGAACGTGCGGCTAAAGACGATGACGTCGTCAAGATAAATGAGACATGAGTCCCACTGGAGCCCAGCGAGGACCAGCTCCATGAGCCTCTGGAACGTCGCTGGGGCCGAGTGGAGACCCATGGGCAATCTATTAAACTCGAAAAGGCCCTGTGGTGTCCGAAAAGCAGTCTTAGGTTTTGATGATTCGTCGAGGGGGAGTTGCCAAAACCCCACAGAAGGTCCAAGGTGGAGAAATAGTGCGCCCCTGCCAGGGCATCCAATGACTCGTCCATACGAGGGAGAGGGTAGGCGTCCGCTACCGAGATTTTATTTAGGCGCCGAAAATCAACGCAAAAACGGAGACTGCCATTGTGCTTTTTGACCAGCACTATTGGAGCACCCCAGGGACTAGTGGAGGGAGAAATTATATCGGCCTTCAGCATGTCATCCACAGCCGATTTAACATGCTGTTTCTCCGCCGGGCTAAGCCGAAACGGGTTTTGTCAAATCGGGGCAGCGTCACCAGTATCAATGTGGTGACGCAGCAGCTTGGTGCAGCCAATATCAAATTTAGATTTACTGAAGACATTGGAAAATTCTCGCAGAAGAGCGCGCAATTTAATTCGCTGCGAATGAGACAGATCACCCGTGTCTGTGCAGAGCGCGTACAACCATCTCTCATCCGATTCGGAAGGAGGTGGGACCTGCGGCGTGTCATGCACGTGTCCCGCGACTCCGGTCCCCAACGGCACCGGGGTCGCGTGAGCGAGCACAGTTCCTTGCGGAATGACGGTTGTGGACAATCCGACATTCAAAACCTGCAAGAACGGCTCCCTGTCGGCTGCTACGAGGGTCTGTGCAGCCACCAAATCTAACCCCTTAGCAGCTGCGTTTGAAGGCCCCCAGCAAAATGCCATGTGCCGAGGCCTCCGGGGCTAGCGGTTTTTTTAAGTTGCAAGGGCACGAGCATTTGTGTCCCTGGCGGAATGCGGACTGTGCTCGCGACAAACGCCTGCACCGAGGCACTAGCCATGCGGGGATGTGAGGGTGTGGGCAAGAACGCCATCCGTCGACCCGACAGGAGTTCGATGCAGCCTTGATCTACAAGGATCTTAATAGGCATTTTCGCGAGGAAATCAGTGCCTAACAAACACGGCACGGCGAGGGAAGAAGAGACCAAAATAGGCCCTGCCAATTTAATGTCTCCAATCGAAATTTGCGCCCGAATTTGCCCAATAATGCCCAGAGAACTGCCATTAGCGGCGAAACACGGGATAGAAACCCGTTCCAAGGGGCGGCATGGTACGGGCAGTATATTGTAAATCAAATCCGAAATGATCGTAGCCGACGCACCAGTATCGACCAACACGCGAAATTCCACACCCTCGATTGAATCCGACAACCACGGACGAACCTCCCGTCGCCGCGACTACCCTATGGGCCAACTCAGACCACTGCCCAGGTCCAAGTGGCCGCGAAGAGAAAGAAGAAACGCCAGAATACCCCCCACTCACACACCGAATCGCGAGCCCTTCTTATGGTGCGTTGCAGTGTGTATGGTGTGAATGAGGGCCGAGCGTGAGAGGCGTCGCGACTTGCCTGGTTTTGCCGCGATACCGTGGACGTCCTGTAGTCCTGGCCCTGGGATGCGGAGGGGCGTCGTCGAGGCGCACGGCAGTCAGAGAAGATGTGGCCTCGTTGGCCACAGTTGAAGCCCGTTACGTCGCCGCGTGTCGAAGGCCGTCCCCGCTGCTGGTCGTTGCGGCGACCAGCGTGGTCGGACGATCGCCGGCCCGTTGACCTGGTCGCCATGAAGGCCCGGTCGGGGGAGAACTCGGCGTCCCTGCTGGCAGGCTCCGACGTCGAAGCCGAGGCGGCGATGGTCGATTCCGTGTGGAGCAGCAGATGTGCGTGGATGCACCGAGCGGCTCGTAGCGAGCATATACTGTCGTCGTCCACTGCTTGGATGACGATGCGCAGCTCGCGCGCCAGCTCCAGCATCTACTGGAGAACGATGGCATCGATGGCCTCGTCGTCCATGCGAGGGGTAACCCGCTCTTGCCATCGCCAGTAGAGCGGTCCCGGAATGCCCAACGGAGACTCTTTAGGGGCGGCGTCGCCTGTCGTAAAATCGGCTGCGGACGTCGGATGGAGGCCCGGTAGACATCGGACATTCCATCGGAGGGCCGATTGAAGAGTCGCCATCCAAAGTGGCTGGTAGCGCTCGGAGCGCCTGTGCGTCCGACCAGCCCACCATCTCTTGGTGGCTCAGGAGCGACGCTGGAACGCCGCCCAGTCGCCCCATTCAGATGTGAATTCTCGGAAGATGGGCAGGCGTTGTTGGAGGGCGGACGTCGTCTCTCCTCAGCTTGCACCGTCTCGAGCCGGAGATCGGCGATTTCCCGGCCGATAGAGTCTGCTGTACCATGTCGGTACAGTGATGACGTGGCATCCACTGAGGAACTTGAATTCGCAGCGTCGCGTGCTGATGACGTTGCGGGTTGTGATTGGCCCCCCACGTTCCCAGGATGCCCCTGGCTTCCACTTCCGGCGGGATCACGTGGTTCCCCGGCGGGAAAATCCAAAATGTCTGCCCCGGCCGATGGCGGGAACGTCTGCCGGCGGTTGACTCGGCCTGGCCCGCGAGCTCCAAGTTGATCTCTTCGATAATGGAGGCCGCGGCGTGTAGGAGTTGAGCGAGACGGCCGTGTGCTGCCCTGAGTTCCGTCCCCCATGGCAGGGGGAGTGACCGACTGCTCAACCGGTGGCTGGGCGGCCGTCAACGCGTCAGCGTTTTCAGCGGAGCTGGCGGTGCTTGCAGGTAAGACATCTTCGTTCTGGCTCCACGCGTGGGCTGAAACTTCTGGTTTCCATTTCCAACCACTTCTTATTCCAGTGTAGTGTTTGTAAGGACGAGCAGGACTCTTTAGGAGGCACACTCTGTTTATTGTATTATTTCCTTATACAACGCTTAACACACACAGAGGGATAATTCGGTCCCCTCACCCGATACCCTAGGGAGGTACAGCCTCCGGACCTGGCGGGACTCAAAACGTCTACCGCTAACCCCCTTGATACCTAAGGAGGTACAACCTCCGGACTTGGCGGGACTCACACGTCTACCGCTATCCTAGTCCTCCGGCTAGGACCTAGGGGAGGCTATCTGACCCACCGCTGGCCCCGGGGGTCCTGACCACTGGTATGCCGAGCCTTAGCCCTTAGAGGGCTAAAAGGCTGGTCCAGGATCCTAGCTAGGCTTCAGCCCAGTCTTCTATCTTCGTGCAGGGAGAGAACTCCCCGAGGTCCGTTGGGTCACCCATCTTATAGCCCTTCGTGGCCAGGTAGAACCAATCATACCATTCCCACGTGGAACCGTCTGATTGGTTCGCACCAAACCCTGGCCACGATCCGTTTCACCTCGACTGACCCCAACCGTTGTACCCAGGGGTAATGCTGCACTGCCCTGGTGGCAATGCAGGTTACGCAACAGCGCGTAGTTAACACCACAACACTCACATTGTCTTTAAGATTACACTCTCATACTCACATTGTCTGTATGACTACACTCTCATACTCACATTGTCTATAGATTACCACTCATACTCACATTGTCTATAGATTACACTCATACTCACATTGTCTATAGGATTACACTCATACTCACATTGTCTATAGGATTACACTTCATACTCACACTGTCTATAGATTATCTTCTCATACTCACATGTCTATAGATTACACTCATAACTCACATTGTCTTTAGGATTACACTCTCATAATCACATTGTCTATAGGATTACACTCTCATACTCACTTTGTCTATAGGATTACACTCTCATACTCACATTGTCGTAGGAGTACCAGCTCATACTCACATTGTCTATAGATTACACTTCATACTCACATTGTCTATAGGATTACACTCTCATACTCACATTTTCTATAGGATTATACTCTCATGCTCGCATTGTCTATAGATTACACTCTCATACTCACATTGTCTGTAGGATTACACTCGCATACTCACATTGTCTATAGGATTACACTCTCATACTCACATTGTCTATAGGATTACACTCTCATACTCACATTGTCTATAGGATTACACTCTCATACTCACATTATCTATAGATTACACTCATGCTCACATTGTCTATAGATTACACTCTCATACTCACATTGTCTGTAGGATTACACTCTCATACTCACATTGTCTTTAAGATTACACTCATACTCACATTGTCTATAGATTACACTCATACTCACATGTCTATAGATTACACTCATACTCACATTGTCTTTAGGATTACACTCTCATACTCACATTGTCTATAGGATTACACTCTCATACTCACTTTGTCTGTAGGATTACACTCATACTCACATTGTCTATAGGATTACACTGTCAAACTCACATTGTCTATAGGACTACACTCTCATACTCACATTGTCTATAGGATTACACTCTCATACTCACATTGTCTGTAGGATTACACTCATACTCACATTGTCTATAGGATTACACTGTCAAACTCACATTGTCTATAGGACTACACTCATACTCACATTGTCTATAGGATTACACTCTCATACTCACATTGTCTATAGGATTACACTCTCATACTCACATTGTCTATAGGATTACACTCATACTCACGGGCCCTTCGGATGGCACCCGTTGGGTTGCACTCCCTCGTCGAAGAGGCCGCTCTCCTAGCTTACTTTCACATTAACATCACTAGCCTCGGCCACTTCTTTATGACCCTTGAGCTACACCCATTTCAAAACTTTTAACGCAGTCTGCCTCAGCAGCAGGCCGCGCTTTCCAACCTGATGATGGACGCTTGCGTTGCGCTCGAAACGTCGTGATTTATTTTATTTTATGCCTACTACGTGAATTTGCCGAAAGAACAAAAAAGTTGGGATTCCTGCAGTCACGAAAGCTTCAAATCAAGATAGACAATCGTTCAGGTATAGTAGTGTAGTGTATAGTGTATTGTAGTGTATAGTGTAGTATTTAATAGTGTAGTGTATAGTATAGTGTATAGTATATTAGTGTAGTGTATAGTAGTATATAGTGTAGTGTATAGTATTGTAGTGTATAGTAGTGTAGTGTATAGTGTAGTGTAGTGTATAGTAGTGTAGTGTATAGTGTAGTGTATAGTAGTGTAGTGTATAGTGTAGTGTAGTCTATAGTTCTCATTGGTTCTATTCGGTAAAGTCACGTAGGTAAAAAATAAAACAACAAAAATCACGACGTTTCGGCCACAACACAAGTGGCCTTCATCAGGTGAAGGGACCAGACTGTCTAGAGGACAGCGCTGGAGTGAACACAGCCACGCTCAGACTGCGACCTTTAAGCTGTGTGAGAGGATACAGAGCGCCTTGACAAAGGAATTAAACTTAAAATTAGCATTTAATTGGCGGACTTAGCATGATGAGCGGTGTAGAGGGGGGGAGCAAGTGCAGGTCGGCGAGGGGGGGGAGGGATGGGGGAGTTTATATATTGATGGTGTGAAAAGGGAATTTAAGCAGTTCCAAAAGTTTGGGATACCACAACTGAAAAAATATACTGTACCATTGAAAATTAGTTTAATGTTTGGTTTGATTCAGAACATATTTCCAATGGTTGCTTAATTTGAAACCATCAAATTAAGCAACCATTGGAAAGATGTTCTAAATCGAACCCAAACATTAAACTAATTTTCAATGGTAGAGTAGATGTTTTCAAGTTGTGGTACCCCAAACTTTCGCAGCTCTTAAAATTCCCTTTTTCACACCATCAATATATAACTCCCCCTCCCCCCCCCCTCGCCAACCTGCACATGTTCACCCCCTCTAAACCGCTCATCATGCTAAGTCCGCCAATTAAAGTGCTATTGTTTTATGCTAATTCCTTGTCAAGGCACCTTAATTCCTCTCACCAGAGCTTAAAGGTCACGGTCTGAGCTTGGCTGTGTTCACTCCAGCGCTGTCCTCTAGACAGTCTGGTCCCTTCACCTGATGAAGGCCACTTGTGTTGTGGCTGAAACGTCGTGATTTTGTTGTTTTATTTTTTACTTACGTGACTTTACCGAATAGAACCAAAGAGTATGGATCCCTTGCAGTCACGAAAGCTTCAAATCTAGAATTAGTGTCGAGTAGTGTAGTGTATAGTGTAGTGTATAGTGTAGTGTATAGTGTAGTGTATAGTAGTGTATAGTCGTATAGTGTAGTGTATAGTGTATAGTATAGTGTAGTGTATAGTATAGTGTAGTATAGTAGTATAGTAGTGTATGGTAGTATAGTGTAGTGTATAGTGTAGTGTATAGTAGTGTAGTGTAAACTGTAGTGTATAGTGTAGTGTATTGTGTAGTGTATAGTGTAGTGTAGTGTATAGTGTAGTGGCAGTTTATTTGTATTGCCACTACTCCTCCCCCCCCCCAGGAGAACGGACAGCGCAAATTTGGGGGCCCCCCACCGGGCTGGGAGGGCCCCCCCCCCGCAGCGAGGCTGCGAAGTCTTCCTGGGGAAGCTGCCTCGGGACCTCTTCGAGGACGAACTCGTGCCGGTGTGCCAGAAGGTGACGTCACAATGGGGGGGGGGGGGGGGGGGGTGACGTCACAATGGGGTGGCGTGACGTCACAATGGGGAGGGGTGACGTCACAATGGGGTGGGTGTGACGTCACAAAGATGAGGGCAGCGGGGAGTTTGGGTTGTGATGTTCGAGGCTACAAGGAGGGTGTTGACGGCGGGGGGGGGGGGGGGGTGACCTTTGTCTGTGTGTGTGGGGGGGTGACCTTTGTCTGTGTGTGTGAGGGTGACCTTTGTCTGTGTGTGTGGGGGTGACCTGTGTCTGTGTGTGTGGGGGGTGGGTGACCTTTGTCTGTGTGTTTGGGGGGGGGGTGACCTTTGTCTGTGTGTGTGGGGGTGACCTTTGTCTGTGTGTATGTGGGGGTGACCTTTGTCTGTGTGTGTGGGGGTGGGTGACCTTGTCTGTGTGTGGGGGTGGGTGACCTTTTGTCTGTGTGTCCCGTCGCAGATAGGAACGATTTACGAGATGCGGATGATGATGAACTTCAACGGAGACAACCGCGGCTTCGCCTTCGTCACGTTCACCAGCAGGCAGGAGGCACAGGAAGCCATCCGACAGCTCAACAACTACGAGATCAGGTTGGATGTGTCTGTGTGTGTGTCTGTGTGTGTGTCTGTGTGTGTGCAGCCCATGGGCTTGTAATTACCAACACGCTGTTCCGGCATCCGCGCATCCACACAACATCATGGATGCATGCCGGGTCCAAGCAAGAACATCTGCTGGACTACATAGTGACGGACCAGCGGATGCGAGCCCATGTCCTTGACACCAGGACCTACCGTGGAGCTGATCTGCCCTCTGACCATCGACTTGTCATCTATAAGATGCGCCTGCCATTCTTCCACTCCGGCGGTGGGTGTACACCCAGGACCCCATTCCAACCTAAGGTGGCCTGGTCTCAGCTAGCTGCTGAAAGTTGCAAGTGATAATTTCATCATCGCTTGCGGCTGGGGTTGGCATCGTCCCCCACTCCTCCAGATGTCGAGGGTAAATGGGCGAGGTTTAGGACTGTGGCTCATGCAGCTGTAATGGCTGCTTTGGGTAAGCATTCCAGACCTCCCCAGAGACCCTGGCTGACAGAGGAGGTGTTCAGTATAGTTGAGAAAAAGCGACAGGCCCACTCTAATCGTCTACAGCATCCCACGTCGGAGAATGACGAGGCTTACCGCAGCCTTCGCTCGAGGATCGGAGAGCCGTGAGGTGCTGCAAGGATGGTTGGTGGTCGCGGGTTGCTGTGTAAATGGAGTCTGCCTCAATGGCCCGCAATAACAAACTCTATTTAAACTCCATCAAAAAGTAACCTGCAGCGCCACACCTATTACCATCATTAGGGGAATAACGGTGATCCAATCTCCAACCCCCAGGAACAGGTTTGCAGATTTGCTGAGCATTTCTGTGAGGTCCTGGGGGAGGGAAAATCCCTCAGCCAGGAAAACATCGTGGCACAAAGTGAGGATGACCCTGCTGAGGCTGCGGTGCCTTAAATATTGTAGGAAGTCACCCCCTGTGAGTGGCTAGCTGAGGTGCCATCTGTTGAGGAAGTACTAAAGGCGATCCAGAGTCTGAGACCAGGAAGGGCAGAGATGATCTCCCAAGCGAAATGCTGAGGGAGGGTGGCGTTTGTGCACAGACTGCCCGACATGACATCAAAACAACAGTCTGAACCACTGGACGGGATCCGCATGATTGGAAGTATGCCCAGGTGGTCCCCCTCTTTAAGAAGGGGGACCCCAAGACTGGAACAACTACAGAGGCATCTCACTCCTCAGTGTGCCGGGATAGGTCCTGGCAACGATTATTCAACATCGCCTTGCTAGGCACGCTGAGGAGAGGATGCGGAGCCTCAATGTGGTTTCAGGAAAGTTCGGTCCTGCACAGATGCCATATTTTCTGTCCGTCTGCTACTGCAGAGGTGTAGGGAATTCCAACAAGACCTACATCTCTACTTTATTGACCTGGTCAAGGCCTATGATACATCAGTAGGCCTGGGCTATGGTTGTTCTTCGTGCTTTTGGAGTCCCTGACCCTCTGCTCACGATCATACGGACCTTCATGATGGTGAGTGGGCCCGGGTAAACTATGTGGCCGGAAGTAAAAAGCCATTCCCTTTACACCTTGGGGTGCGACAGGGATATCCTCTGGCTCCCACATTATTTAACATCTATTTTGACCACATAGTTTGTGAAACCTTCAATAGCTGTACCGGAGGAATTTCCATTTGGTACAGATATAATGGAAAGGCTGATCGATTCCGGGTGCCGTCAAGGGATAGCTCCCTATTGGTCAACCACTTAATGTATGCCGATGATTTTGTAATTGCTGCTCATTCAGAGCAGGAGTTGGAGATGCTGCTGATGAGACTGAAGCGTGCCAATAAGAGATGGGGCCTTACCATTAGCCCCACCAAAACTAAGCACCTGCCTAGGTATATTGTACCATCGGACACTCCACCCACACAACTCCAAATCGGTGATGGGGCAGTTGTGGAGAGAGTGGAGAGTTTCCCATACCTGGGCAGTGTGCTTATGACCGGCTCCAATTTAACAGCAGAGGTCTCACTCCGAATCAGATGAGCGGCAATATATTTTCATTGGTTGCGTAACGCTGTGTAGAAGCTACCTGGTCTATCACTCCACAGGAAGCTTCAGGTCTTCTCAGCCACGGTCATTCCCTCCCTTCTCTATGCTTGCGAAATGTGGACTCCCGTAATGGAACACCTTCGCCGGTTAGAAACATTTAGGCTAGCCTGCCTATGATCCATCCTGGGTTTAACCAGGCTGGATTGTGTGAGGAGCTTACAAATCCTTTAAAGATGTGGACAAATCTTCTTTGGTTCTTTCGGTAAAGTCACGTAGAATGAGAATAAAATAATAAATTGATAAAATAAAATAACACAATAATATTCTCACGACGTTTCGGCCACAACACAAGCGGCCTTCATCAGGTGAAGGCACGAGACTGTCTGGTAGGACAGCGCTGTTATTTTATCAATTTATTATTTTATTCTCATTCTACGTGACTTTACCGAAAGAACCAAAGAAGATGAATCATTGCAGTCACGAAAGCTTTAAATCGATGTGGACAAAAGTCCCATCGGTGAGCTCCTCCGGCGGGCAAGGCTATATTGGCTGGGTCAAGTAGCCCGCATGCCCAGCCACCGCATGCCGAAACAGCTTTTGTTTGGCCGGATCGAGGGGGCTAAACGGGCGCGGCACGGGCTAGAGAAGAGATGGAGTGATGTGGTACGGGAGGACGTGGATTTGAGTGGACTTGCTGATGACTGGTACCAGCGGTGTCAAGATCGGCCTCTGTGGAGGAGGCTCGTGAAGGACGCTACTGGACAGTTGGAGGCAGTCGTCCTCCAACAACAACGGAGGGCGGAGGAGCGACACTCACAACAATGAGCGGAGCGCCGGGTGGCTAAAGCACAGTAAGTTGGCACAGTAGGGGCACAGTTGGTGCCTCAGTCAGTCATCTCAGTCGTCCTCAGTCAACCCGTGGCACCTGGGTTCTGCCCCGTGACCTCCTGCCAGCGGGCGTTCGACACTTCACGTGGCCTCAAGGTGCACATAACCTGGCACAAGCGTCGTGGTAACGTCACCGCCACTTAGTGGCGAATGGCGGTTGTTGTTTTTGTCACTTCAGGGTAGAGGTCACTGCAGAGGCTGTGGGTAGTAATGTTGGGTATATGGGCAGTGTTCAGTCTATGGTTAGTGTTGAGTCTATGGGCAGTGTTGAGTCTGTGGGCAGTGTTGAGTCTATGGGCAGTGTTGAGTCTATGGGCAGTATTGAGTCTATGGGCAGTGTTGAGTCTATGGGTAGTGTTGAGTCTGTGGGCAGTGTTGAGTCTGTGGGTAGTGTTGAGTCTATGGGCAGTGTTGAGTCTATGGGCAGTGTTGAGTCTATGGGTAGTGTTGAGTCTATGGGCAGTGTTGAGTCTATGCGCAGTGTTGAGTCTATGGGCAGTGGTGAGTCTATGGGTAGTGTTGAGTCTATGGGTAGTGTTGAGTCTATGGGCAGTGTTGAGTCTATGGGCAGTGATG